GGGCTGCCAATCCATGCCCCCTACCCCTGCAGGCAGTGACGCATGGACGCCCCACGAGCGCCGGCAGTTTGCCAAGGCCTTTGCCCAGCATGGAAAGGACTTCGCCCTCATCCAGCGTGCGGTGAGACACCCCCACCCCCGTCCCCTCTGCAGCCCCTGGTGCTCACAGTCTGGGGGGGCTTCGACGGTGCTGACTCCCCACCTGCACCTGCAGGTGCCAGCCAAGGGGCTGCAGCAGTGTGTGGAGTTCTACTACCTGCACAAGAGCCGGCTGGGGCGTGGCCAGAAGCGCCAAGGACCCTCAGAGGTAATGGGGGGGGGTCTTGGAGTTGAGGAGGGGTCTGGGGGGGTGCAAGATGGTTCTAGCCCCTCACTTGCCTCTCTTGCAGGCCCTGGACATGGCCCCTAGTACCTGCTTCCCCTGCCAACGCTGTGGCAGGGGGGTACCTGGGGCTCCTGAGGGTGGTGGGAGGCAGGACCCTCCTCCCATGCCCCCCACCCCCGCTAATACATCTCCCCACGTGCTCAGGTCCTTTGTGAAGATCAAGAGCCGCAATGCACACATGAAGATCCACCGGCTGCACCAGCCCACCGGGGAAGGCCCCAGGCCTCTCCCCCTGCCCCCCCAGCAATGCCTCCTGTAGACTCGGCAACTGGGGCAGGCGCTTTATTGAGCTCAGCATCATCAACTTCCATGGGGGGGCCCCCAAGGAGCAGAAACCGGCCCCCCACCCTCTCCACCGTGCCTGCAGTCCAAGAGGGGCAGTGTCCATGTGTCTGTTGGTGAAGGGGGGGCACAATAAATCCAGCAGCAGCCCCTGGTACTGGCATTGATTCTGTTCCTTGCTGGAGAGAGGTGTGTATGTGGGGGGAGGTCACACCTCGATGTCAGGCTCAGGACCCAGCAGCTCCTCCTGCTTCATCTTGGGCTTCTCTGTCCGTGTGTGCCTCACCAGCACCTGCCGGGGGGGGAAGGGGGAAGTTAGAGGCAGAGGGCAAAGGAAGGGGGACCCCAGCCCCCCACCTGGGACTGGACAACCACCAGTTCCCTGTCTGTAAAGAGAACCCAGGTGTCCGGGCTCCCAGCCCCCAATAACGGGAACCCCGACGTCCTCCGGGGGCTGACCTTGGTGCAGTTGTTGGCCTTGGGCTCAAGCTGGTCGAGGGAGACGAGGGCGCTGAGCAGGCTGCTCTCCAGGAACCCGCGCTCAGCGCGGGGGTCGAAGCGGGCGCGGGGGGTGGCCAGCAGCAGCGGCAGCGCCACAGCGAAGCCAGCCATGTCCAGGGCAAAGGGGCGCGTGGGGCGCCAGCCCGCCCGGAACCCTACCACGCGGCCCCCCTCCACCAGCGGGCGCTCCCAAT